ACATGGACACAATTATAAATTTTTGTTTTGGTCTGAAAACACAAGAGATAATATTTTTACAAAATTTTCTCATTAAGTAAATTTACAAACTTCATGAAAAAAAAATGAGGTGCATGAGTGTCTCAAAATGGCCACAACTAGATTAGTTGGGGGTAATTCATCTTTAAAGAGACCAATTATGATGATAATAGTTGAATAATGATTTGATGAACTCCATCGCGAGTTAAGATGATAAATTTTTTATAGAGATGATAAAAATAAAAAATAATAAAAATATAATCTCGGACTATATTTAAGGGCAATAATAAGTAGAGTCAATATGGTCTAAGCTAATATGATGGAAGAATCATTCTTTCTTTCTTTCTTTTTTTTATCAAATGTAAGTAATTGTATAGATCAAAAGTGAAACAAAGCTGGAAACTAACAAGTCGGAATATATAGGCATGTACATACAAGCGAACAATGGAAACAGACTCCCTTGAACAGATGAATACATCAAAAAAGGAAACATGCTCATTGAACAAAGATAGTAAAACCAACAAGCTTAACAAAAAGCCACATTAGACCATCACAAATACATGCAGCCAACATTCCTATTCATTGATATGAGAGAGAGAGAGAACATTGGAAGACAAACTTATGACAAATATTAAAGGTTTTAGAGTCATTTAAACAATTCAAGTTATCTAGTATCTAGTGATTGATATTTTTAAAGATTATGGTCTTTGTGGATGCAGAATAGTGGGGTTTCAAAATATATAAGTTTTACTTTACAAATAAATTAAAATAAGTTGTTGCTACAATCAAACCTTGTAGTTAGGAAATTTCAGGCCTTGCAATTAGAAAATTTTCAAGTGCTATAATTAGAAAGTTTAACTATACCATTAAAAAGTTGAACTCTTCCACTAGGAAGTGTAAGCCATACGATTAGAAAAATTCAAGCCCTATCATTAAAAAATTCAAGTTGAGTTTGCAACCAAAATATTTTTTAATTATTTGATATGAGAATAGTTACTTTTCTATGAGTTTGTTTTATCATAATTTAATAATAATAATAAAACTTTTCTGGTATTATATTTCTTTATAAATTTATTATACAAAATCAAAGGAAAATGAAGTTTTCAATATCTTTGTACCATAGTTATTAAAAAGAAAGGACAACTATCGTAATTTATTTTCCACTCTTGTTTTCAAAATATTTTAAAAAATATGAAAAAATTCTTTAAAAAAAAGTATTTCTAAAGCAAGTTTGTCAATTTATGGTATTTTTGACACTATGACTTATTTTATTGCAAGACGAGTATTTATAAAAAAAAAAAAAAGAGTTTAAAGAGTGAAATAAAAAGAGAGAAAGAGAACAATGGATTAAGGTGATTAAGAACTAAAAAATAATATGAGAAACTATACAAAATAGAGAAAGAAAAATAAATTGGAGGATCAAGTAAGGTTAAACAATTATTGAAAGAGATGCTACACATTAATACACATTAAGAATAGAAAATTTAATTAATTAGGAATTCATGGTCAAGAAGGAAATAATATAATTTTCTAATATTATTTTTTTAATTTTGTTTTTTCTTGTTTTGTAGAGAATCATGAACAATATAAATAAAAGGTATTTCCCCAACGAGGGGACACATTGAGATTGAAAAGGAGATACTCTTGCAAAATAAACTATCAAAAAACATAATACAAGAGAAAGAAAAAATAAAATAAAGTAAAAATAAAAATAAAAATAAAATACAAGTTGCTAAATTCACTAAAAAATCTAGCATCACAACATCAATTGTTTGGCTTCTGATCTCCCATCTTCCATGGAGGTGATTAACATTGCTAGAAAAAAAAATATGAAGTTTTTTTATCTAGTTATCTACGACATGTTGTCCACATACCTCTTTATTTTGGTGGAGCATAATAAACCATCTTAAAAGCTAAATTAGTCGTTGACACGTGTACTACACGTGCCTACACTTTTTTTTTTTTGTTCCAGCCATTTGGTCTTGCTCCAACCTGCTTAGATGACTTGTAAAGATCAATTTTAATCCTTATATATGATTTTTTTTAGAATAATTTTTTTATATAATTGTTAATTTTTAACTGTGAATTTGTATTAATTTATACATTGTTTTGAATAAATTCACGATGAGCACATGATTTTCTCCTTATATTTAGACTTGTATTCATCAAATTGGTAGAAATATTTATGGTTATTTATGATGAATATTTTAGAATAAATAATTGATTTATGGTGAATTAATACAAATTAGGTGATTAAAGGAAACGATTGAAAACCCAAGTCTAGCCTTATTGTGCAATAAGCATTTACTATTATTTAAAACCTTGTCCCCGTAAAAAAAAAAAAAAAAAGATTATACATCATAATTTAGCCTAAATTCCAAATCATTATCCTATAAATTTTCACCTTTGATAAATATATATAGTTTTAGTTTAGAAAAAATATTAATATGTATATATAATAAGTGTTTTTATCTTAAAATTAAATAACAATACAGTTACTTAGATATGATTTTTTTTTTGTGATTTTCATCTTTATTTTAACATAATTAGTTTTTATCTAAAAATTTTTAAAAACTAATTAAAATTTTTAATAATCATAAAATTAGATGGCTTGCAAAATAAACTACCAAAAAACCTAGCACAAGGAAGAGAAAGAAAAAAGAAACGAAAAAAAAACAAGCTATCGAATTGCGTAGAAAACATAGCATCAGAGAATGAAATTTTTAGCCTCCACTCTCAAGTCTCTCATGGAGGTGATTTGGAACCAACAAGAAGAGGAATTAGTTGTCTACGACAGGGAGTGGTCCACGTGCCTCATTTCCTTAGTGGCCCATGAAAAAAAGCCTCGAAAGCCAGACCAGTCATCGACACGTGTAGTCTATTCGCCAATATTGTTTTTTCTAGCACTTTTTTTTCTTCTTCAGACATGTGGTCATGTTCCAACCTATTCCAAGGACTTGTTCAGACATTGTTTTAATACCTACATGTGATTTATTTTTTTAGAGTAATTTGTGAATTTCTTTGTTAGTTTTTGACTTGCAAACATTTATTAATTTATATTTTGTTTTGAATAAATTTTCTATGAGCACATGATTTTCTCTTTGTATTTATACTCATATTAATTAATTGAATTAGTTGGAATATTTATAGTTATTTATGATGAATATATTGGGAAATATAATTAATTTGTGGTGGATTAATATAAATTAAGTAATTAAAGAAAATGATTCAAAACTCAAGTCTTTGTTTACTATTAGTTCAAATTTTACCCTATAATAATAATAATAAAAAAAGAGTAAGGATTATACCTTCTTATCAAATCTAAATCTCAAATCATTATCCTATGAATTTTTAACTTTAATACATATCTATTTAGTTTAGGAAAAACATTAACTTGTATACATAATAAGTATTTTTATCATAAAATTAATTAATAATATAATTTACTTTAGGTATAATATTTTATGATGATTGTTATTTTTTCTTTAATATAATTAGTTTCTTATCCAAAAATTTCTAAAAAACAATTTTATAAAACTAGATGAAGATTCATTTATTTTTTACTTTTAATCCTTTCATGTAATTAAACAACTAAAATATCTCTTGTGGAAGTGAGGGAGAGGCTTTCACTCATGTAGCTGTGACTTTTATATAATAATTACTGGAGGAAACATGGATATTTCACCAAACTTTAAAAAATATTAATTAAAGACTTCCTTAAAATCAATTAGTTGTATTTTTAAGATTTGCCCTAATAATAACCTCATTGGCAAAAATTGAACTTCACGCCCGGTGGGACTCGAACCCACAGTCGCCTGATTAGAAGTCAGACGCCTTATCCATTAGGCCACGGGCGCTACTTTTGTGCTGTCCCCGTATCTATAATATAAACAAAATATTATAGAAAGGAACTTCGAAGCTTGAAAGGAAGAACATGAAAAGTATCTCTTTTCTTCTTTGCTATCATGGATTTGCTTGAAAATGATAGAGAGATGCACACTACTTCGTTTAATAATTAAAGTAATTTTAAAAAATTAAAAATATTATTTTAATATATTTTCTGTAAAAAAAAAAAACACTCTTAAAAATAATAATAGCTATTATAATTTTAAACACGGCAATTTATCTTCTTTTAAAATTATTATAGCTATGTTATTTTTTTAAAAAAAATTAATTATTAAATGAAGTAGTCTGCATCTCTCTTCCATTTTCAAGCAAATCCATGAGAGCAAAGAAGAAAAGAGACTTTTCATGCTTTGGATTTCAAACTTCATATCAATAAATTAAAATAATTTTTAAAACCAAAAAAAGGAATTTATTTTTATTTTTTAACACTTTTGTAATACAAAAATAAACAAAATCTTAAAGGTGAAGTGGTTAAAACAGATTATTAGTGGACATCTAGCAAATAAAAAGCACATTTCATTTTTACAAATTATAAGCATGTTTATGATTTTGGCTACGTTACGAGAGTCCTGCACTTTGGCCCCTCAAACATGTCATGATTGGCAATCCTCCCGGCGATAAATTTTCAGTTTACATATAATTTGGATTTGTGTAGCACCAAATATTCTTTCTTCGAAGCACATTTTGAGACCACACATGAATACATATACATGTCATATGGCTATGGAATCTATAAAATGACAATCCACCCCTGCTGCTACTTCTGCTCCTGTTTCGTGGAGGTAGATTAGCCGGACCCTGAATTTCTAAAACAACAGGGAAGATATTGACAACTGTTATCTTCCTCCTCAGTGCTTGCTTTCTACTCTGTGCTTGCTTTCTACACTTCAGAAAGAAATTCAGTACACCTGCATACAAAACATGGATGGATCCTTTCAATCTTGCAGTTCATAGAAATGGAGATCATCACTGTGTTATAACCATTTAGTAAAGGGAAATATCTGTCAGATGTGCGTTAAATCGAAATCTTGTCACCCAAATGTTAAGCCACCAAATTCAACTACTGGAAGAAAACAAAAGAGGAGATTCAGTCTCTTTGGACATCTGACAGTTAAACTAAACATCTAGTCATCTCAACTGCACAAGATTCACATTTGCTAACAACATCAAATACTATTACACAGAATTTTGAGAAAGTATCCACACTTGAGACTGTCACCATGCTCCCTCTATTATCCCCATTTTGGATGAACCAATTCTCAAGACTCAACACTGTACTTCGATTGGACTATAGACTATGGAATCATTATTAGCATTCATAAATAGCTCCAGTGTTGACAAGTCATTGCAGCAGCCCACAACATTGAACATTTTTTGCCCTAAGCTAAATAAATAAGACTGATTGATCCATGACCCTGAGAGACAACGGTTTCTAACACATGTTTGAAAGCAAAATAGAGCTTCCAACTCTTTCCCATGTGGACTCTTATCAATTGCTCCAATATTCCTCAATTTGAAACTTCAGTTTTGCTATAGAAACGGACTTTTGTCAACAAGCATTTTTATTTGGGAAGAGGACAGATCTTATGCTATGTCAATTTCAAGATGCCCCCTATATCAAAAGACTTGAGTAAAGCATGAAATTGGGTGCCAAAACACAAAGAAGCATCTAGTTGATTCCATGCCAAAAAGATCATCATAGGTTTCAAGATTGGAATCTGGGTCAAGAAGACAAAATTGGTTCAGTAGCTGAAAAGGCGACAAAAATCCATCATAACAATTGTCTTAGTTCCAAAATAGGAATAGCAAGCAAACACTCAAAGTCACAATGTCAGTGTTTTATGTTAAGTTGTCACCATTTTTTTCTCAGAGTTGGCAATGTGGGATATTTACATCATCCACTAGCAGTAATGCCATATTACCTCAGTTTTATATTTTTGTTAAATATCTCACAAGAGTATAGTTCATAGGGAAACAAATTCAAGGCAAAAGAATTACCTTTCACCTCAATAATGGGCAGTGTAATACTACTTCTCAAGCTGAATAAACTAGAAAAGGCACTGCAGAGAGAAGCAAGTTAATAACCTTAATCAGTGTAATGTTAAACAAGGATTCAAGCATGGGCAATAAAACAACGTAAAAATATGAATTACAACAGTTCTCTCTATCATTTACAAAACACAGGAGCTCAAATTTCCAATCTATTTCCTCGGTTCACAAATTGAAGCCACAAGTACAAAATAAAGATGGGACAAGTGATCCATATCATTCACGGGATCGATCTATTACACCTGCATATCCAAATTGCAAATGTGGCTATGATGTTCTTTTTTCCTTTCTGTGTTTTAACAAAAGAGAGGGTTATGATGATGGCATCCCCTTTTTCAAATTTACTTCATGAGTAAGCACCTAGAGGACTTAACAAACCCAGTTATTTAAAATGCTACATTGATCAGAAACAAATGCTCCCTTAGACCAAAATCTCATCCACAGACACATGTCATGTAGGAAATATTGAAATGATAATAGTCAGGATTTCAATGCTAGGTAAATACTTCCTAAGTACATTTTTTGTTGAGCTAAAATAATGTAAAGATTGACAAGCTAGCTAGCAAAGTTGACAGAACAATCAGATATTTCTCACTGATCAAGGAAAGAAGTTCCTTATCATGTGATGGGACCAAATTAAACAAAAAAGCTCCTAATATCTACAAAGGTTGAATGCCTGTCTGACAGAAGATGAGCTCCAGGAATTTTGGATTCGAAAATGCTGGTTAACATATTTCGTAGGAAAAGTACACAATTCTGATGAGAAGTTAAAAGTTGGATATCATATTTCATCGAAAGGACTTCTAAGCTTAACCTCGTAACTTGAAATGCATTTTCAACAAGATAAACCAAACAAGTAAAGGAGTTCTGGAGTAAAATGATGGCATGAGGATGAGATTGTTGGTAGTTTGCTTGATCAATTAAGACATATGGTATCATTATAGTAGTGCCTATAAGCACCCATGAATCTAGTGGCAAAAAAGCATTCTGTGCAGAAATTTATCATTATAGTAGTGCCTATAAGCACCCATGAATCTAGCGGCAAAAAAGCATTCTGTGCAGAAATTGGTTTTCGATATGCTAAATATCCAAACCTAACCATCGAATGATATCTCCAAGGAGCTAACAATTTTATATTAATGGAACCACATCTTCTGTTAAGGCCAAAAGCAACAACAGTATCTGCTTAATCCAATTTGACATCATTAAGCCAGTAAATTGTCTTTAACTACATAACTTCCTAGAGTATATACTTGTTCAATGATGTCCACAATACTGGATCATTCCAATATGTTGACCAGTGGTCTCAAATTAAGTATTGTCTCCAATACCAGCTGCTGGCTATGTGCTTTGATCAGCTAGTATAAGGGGAGAACCAAGAGAATTGTGTTTGGCAATCATTTTTCAACAAAATAGTGCATGAAATTCAAAAGAATCAAGAACTTACCAATTAAGAAAATGCTGAGCATTAAAGCAAGAGTAAGTTGGATGGAACAGCTGAACTGCAGGTGCAGTGGGGTTTGCAATTGCCTTTGGAAACCACCAGTCTGACCAGAGAGCTGCAAAAGGTTAAAAATTTATAAGATCTCTTGGGAATCTACCAAAACATAATGATTTGTGAAGTGAAAAAATAAATCTTGACAATTGCACAAATACTGATCCATTTCAATTGAAAATAATATGAGAAACCATCCCTGCCTTCACTTTCACAATTATAATTCAAAAGGGACATTTATTTCAGACAGATAAATAATCCATTTTCACATATCATAAGCAATTAACTATTTCACCTGATTGAACAAAGTAATCGATCCCTTTGCCTGAGAATGTTCTCCACACCTTCGCTTCCAGAAGAAAGGTTTGTACCATTTTTCTTTAGTAGTGGCCTCAACACTTGACTTCATTTTGTCCCTTTGTTTGTCATCACGAGCAACCATGAATTTCATAGAACCAAAATTTGGCGAACTCCATGTTGTCCTTGAACCAGTTGTTTTATCAACTTGACTGATTATCTCATCCCTCATTCCAAGATTTTCTTTCTCTTGTATATCTATAATAAATTCTCCATTTTTATTATCAATAATGAATTCATTTTCACCAGAAGTACCTCTACTACAGGTGGGCCCAGAGTTATGGTCCACTTTTTTTCTCTTATGAGGGTTCTCTCCAGGAGAACCTTTCATGGGAGATTTGGCTGTGGTGAAGTCATCTTTCACATTCTCTGGAATTTGGATGGTTCCAGATAGAAACATGGCTAAATCATCACATTCTTCTTTATCTAGATTCACCCATCGAAAAGGTTGCTTTCCTTCCCCACTAAAAGCTTCCCTTAGAGCTGCTTCAACAAGAGATATTTGACTTTCAATAGCAGTGACAAATTGCTTATGCCTAGATGTGGTGAAATCATCAGAACAATGTCCACAGCTCAACCGAACAGCCCTCTCAAACTCCTCCAACTGTTTCATGGTTCAAAGATCAATGATACAGGGAAAAATGGAGAAACAAAAGAAAAGAGAACCATTTGCGGAAAAGAAGTTAGTCAACTGTAAGAATTGAAAACAAAATTTATAGTGATTTCTTAGTGCTCAGCTCATTTGGCTAGGGTGTGCAGTAAAAGGGGGGAAAATATTAGGATACTTAATAATATTGATAAGTGAAATTTAGGTAAAAGCACACACTCTAAGCAAGGGATTCAAAGTTGGATGAGTTGAGGTTAGCTTTTCTTCTGTCAGATGTAAATAATAGAAAACATAGAATTGGAAATAGTCCTTCAACTGAAGTTTAACATTCAATATACTGAAAAGTAGTTCAAAGAAACGGATTAAGAGAGGCATGTAATAAATTTAGAGGTTTGAAGAACAAAATACACCTGCCATTTGGCAGTGCCTAGAGCAGTTTGGAGCTCTCGGGAGAATTGATCCAAATCCTCTGGTTTTGATCCCTCTCTCTTCTCTCTTGTCCACATTCTATATGCTGATTCCATTCTGCCAAAAACAAAAATAACCAAAAACTGCTTCAATTTCAGTTCAATATAAGTCTAAGAGCATATGAGCATTCTAATGATTATCAAGTTTGTAGCACAAGAATAACTTGTTGATTTCATTAGAATACAGAGCTGCCTGCCTTCAAAGAGCACAGGAATAACTTTCCGCTAGTGAAAATTGAGAACTCTCCAAAATTACAGGAAATAGAATTTATGATACTTGAAGATCAACAATTTCAAAGATAGGAACATATAGTCATGCATTACAAAACAAACAACATAAACCCCACATTTTCACATCAACAAGACCTGAAAAACAAAGAAATAAGGCACGCGTCCTCATATTTGGTGCCAAACTTTAAATTGAAGAGCTTAACATCACAACACATCTACAAACACATTCCATTAACTAAATAGGAAGAAATCCCAACCAAGAAAACCCCAAAATCTGCAAGACAACCTTTAAAACAGAGCAATAAACACACATCAAGACAACCTCAGAAGCAAAACATATAATAAACATCAGTATGCAGCATGCAAAACCCAATTCAAAATACAATCCATAGTCGTAAAACTGGAGAAACTAAACAAATTGTTGTACCGAACAAATATAGAATGTAAAGCATGAAATGAAAACGTACACATCAGCAGATTCCTGAACCTCTTCTGCAGCAGAAAAGAAAGCATCTTTCTGCCATAGATCGAAGCTGTTAGCTACCATCATCTTCTTCACTTCAAATTCAACAACAAAACAAACGCAATAAGAAACCCGTACAAGCACAAACAGAAACCCAAAAATTATCAACAAATGTTTTTCTTTTTTGCTTTGCTTGGACGGATATGCTTTCTTTTCTCTCTTCTCTCTTCTCTCTTCTCTTCTGTTAATAGAAGAAGCAAAGAATGAGAGAGAAGAGAGGCCAGAGGAAAGAAAGCAAGAAAGAAAGAGACGTTTAAGCAAATTCTTCACTCTCTCTCTTTATATTTTATTTTTTGAAAAAAAAAAAAACCATGCCTCCATTTCTTCATTATGTGGCGTGCTCGCTCTGTAGATGAAAGATTATGCCCTTATTTTATTATTTCCTATTAATTAAAAAAAATGGAAAAAACATGCAATAAATTTAAGTGGTTCTATCTTCTGTATACAGTTTCATGTTATTATAACAGATAATACTACTGTTTATTATTATTATTATTATTGAGAGCACTAACATGTTCTTTATACTTTTTAGACTTCAACTATTATTTTCGTCAGCGCTCTCGTAGGGGTTAGAGCTACTTCTTCTTCTTTTTAATATTCAGAGTATGCAATTTTTTTATAATATTATTAAATACAATTAAATAGTTTCATTTTAAGATATAGGTTACGGAGTTTTAACCGACTTGAGTTTTAAATTATATTATATTAAAATTAATATAAAATAAATAATTTAATTTAATAGATTCATAAATAACTTAAATTACTTGTAAAAATATAAAATAATTTTTAAGAAAAACTTTAAAACAATAATTTTGTTTTAATATTAAAATTATACTAGATTGAATCGATCTTGATCACTTTGTGACTTGGATTATGAAATTCAATAGATTTAATAGTTTTTTTATTTTTATAAATTATTTTTATTTAATTTTATAATAAAATTAAATACTTGTAAAATCAAGCACCAACTCTAAAAAAGATGTTTATTTGATATTGTGATAACTCTATAAAAAATACAAAAAATAAACCATGAATTCTATTTCTTAATCGATCCAATATTAAAGAAGAATAAAATTAAAAAAATAATTAGAAAAATTAAATCACTAAAAACTAAAAAAAAAAAAAACATTAGGTTTGATGGGTAAACCTGCTAAACTCATAAATTGGTAATCTGGATCAACAAGTTAAACCCATAAACCAAGCAATGGGTCCCATTGAAATTAATAACTTATTTTTTTTCTAAACTATTGTTTATTTAATTATATGATTATAAAAATAGATAATTGTAAAGTCAAGCATTAAACTAATACTGAGATTTTTTTGAAAACTATGATAACCTCATATAAAGCAAAATAATACAAATTATTAAACTCAATTCTCAATCAATTCAATATTGAACAATAAAATACAAAAAAAATTAAAAAAGTTAAACTCACTAAACCTGTTAATAGGTTCATGGACTTTCTAAAATTTAATAACATGTTTTTTTTTAAAACAATTTTTTTTAACTATATGATAAAAAAAAATATACAACCACAATCTAGTTAATTAGAGAGGGGGGGGGGACTTACTAAACTTATGAACTGAGGCAATCAGGGTTATCTCTTGAAATTTACAAATCAAGTCATTGACTCTACAAAGTTTAATAATCTATTTTAAAAAAATATTTTTTATTTAACTAATTTTTTAAAATATAAATCATATAGCGATGTTGAAATATTTTTTTGATACCAACTTGATATTGAAATATTTTCTTGATATTGCAATAATTATATAAAAGATAAATCAAAATAAATTATCAATGATAAAACCCTATAAACGTATTATATAAGGATTAAATTAAAAAAAATTAATAACCAAAGGAAGGAAAACAAAGGTTAAAATGAAAAAAAAAATTGTGATCCAAAATCTTAATGGGTGTGGGAAAACCATGTTATCCCCGCACCTTTTAAATGGTGTTTGAAAGTGTAGTGGCATTTTATTTTTTAAAATACTTTTTTAAAAAAATACATCAAAATAATATATTTTTTTACTTTTTTAAATTATCTTTAACATCAATATATCAAAACAATTTAAAACAATACAAAAAAAATAATTTTAAGCAAAAAAATTCAACTTTTTAAGAAAATGATTTAATCATGTTCTCAAATAGTCACTTAGCTTTATATTAATTAGAAAAAAAATAAACTTAGCTAAACCAACGAATCGGGATAATCACGGTAACCTCACTAAACTCACAAATCAAGTCATTAATTCCATAAAGTTTAAGAACCTAGTTTGTCTTAAATCATTTTTTATTTAACTAAATATTTTTAAAAAATAAACCATACCATGATATTGGAATATTTTTCTCATACCAACCCGATGATGAAATATTTTTTTGATATCACAATTAAAATAAATTATCAACTCTAAATCTCCATAAACACATCATATAAAGACTAAATTAAAAAAAAATCAATAACCAAAGGAAAAAAAAAATAGAGGGTCAAAATGAAAAAAAAAAGTTGTGATTTACAATGTAATGAGTGTGGAGACACTGTGTCTTCCCCACACCTTTTAAAAGGTATTTGAGAGTGTAGTAGTAATTATTTTTTAAAATTATTTTTTCTTGAAAATGTATAAAAATAATGTTTTTTTATTGTTTAAAAATTATTTTTGACATCAGCTCATCAAAACAATAAAAAAATATACAAAAAATTAAGTTTATGTAAAAATTTTAAATTTTTGAAAAATGTGTTTTCAACTATGTTTTCAAACAGTCACTTAGTTTTATATTGATTAGAAAAAAAAAAGGTATTTTGTTAAATTCACAAATTGAGACAATCAAGATTACCTCGTTAAACTCGCAAACCAAATCATTGACTCCACAAAGTTTAATAACTTAATTTATTTAATTATTTTTTATTTGATTAACCTTTTTTTAAAAATAAATCATATCGTGATGTTGAGATATTTTCTAATATCAATCCAATACTAAGATATTTTTTTGATATTGCGATAACTATATAAAAAGTAAATTAAAATAAATTATTAATTTTATATTTCTATAAACATATCATATAAGGATTAAATAAAAAAAATCAATAATCAAAGGAAAAAAATGATCAAAATGAAAAAAAGATTGATTACTATTCTAATTCACAAAACTAATGAATATGAAAAACTGGATTCTCCCCGCATCTTTTAGTTTTATATTTAATTAATTAATACTTAATACTTAATTAGGTATATTTTTAAAGGAAGTATAGAAAATCAGATTTCATAAACGCAAACCACATTTTAATTTAAACGAAATTATCTTCTTTTCTTTTATTATTAATGAGTGATAACATTATACTTTAACTGTTACATGAACTTGGATTTAAGATTTTGCATCCAATTCTGACTGTTTAAATTTCTTAAGCAAAATCCGTATTTTTATTGCACTATTAAAATAAAATAAGAAAGAAGTTTAAAGGAAGGGAAAGGAGATGGGAGGGCTGCCCATTAGCCAAAAAATTGTATTCTCCTTTTATTTTTATTTTATTTTTTCTTCTGGATAAGATTTCTATTTTTGACATGCTAACAATTTATGGTGTCGTGTCTAAGTAAAATCCTAATTTAAGAACATTTATTATACTAATGATGCAAAGGGAATTGTTAATGATGGTTAGTGAAGAAGCGGTGCATTAAGGATGGAAGACATGAAAAAAAGAGAGGTAAGGTGGTCCGTCCGCCTCCTTCCTCCTAGTCATTACCTCACTAACCACCGCTTCAACAACCACTACTTTTATATATTTATATATATATGGTAGGAGGGAGCAAATTGGAAGCAGCCTGCCCAGCAGCAATTGCTGTTGATTTTAGTTTTTTCTTGCTTGAAATTCCAGTGTAGAGTAGATATTGTCTTAAAAACAAGGAGGCATAGGCAAATATGCTGGCAACCAGCTGGTGGTTGTGGCTTGTTAAGGTTCTATTACCATGTTTGATTTGTCCGCACGGACCTAACTCCATGATAGACAAGATTTGAGGTGGCAGTGGTTTCTTTTTCTTGATCTTGCCTGCTGCTCAATTAACTAAAGTGAAAATTCTTTAGTATTCGATGAGTTTATGACCATTGTAATAGAGGGTTGCTCCTTTTTACCTTCTTTTCCAAGCAAGACACTTCTTCGAAACTGGTTTTGTGTGGTTTGAATCGCTAGAGTTCTGCTCTCCCCCCATAGACCACATGGTTTTTGGAGAAGCTTGTTAGGCAGACAACTCCAAAATCACACACCAATTGATTAATCACTCAACAATATTCTCTCAGCTTTTTCTATTCAAATTCAACTACTCTATAGAAGAAACAAGACGATAAATCATGATTTGGTATGCTTGAAAACCTACTATTTGTCTAGTCAAATTTGGGCATCCGTATCTAATCTCCAACATAATGTAGCCTCTCTTGACTTCCTTTCCCTAAGACCACCCATTTGTCCATTCCCTCGCATAAAAATAAAAATTATGGAGGCTTGAGACACCAAAAGGCCATTGGCCTTGTGGTGTAACAATACTACAAGATTTATGCGTCATGATCAGTACGCTCCATCTACGTTAATTTTTATCATGGCTTTTAGGCTGGGGAGACTACATCCCAGGATTGAAGCAGACACATAGGCTTTCAAGCCAGCTCATCTAAAGCTTAGACAATTCATCTTGCACCAAATTGAGACCCGCGGCACATGATGTTAAAATTGAGGAGACAATCCTTCTTTGTAGATCTTTAAACTCCAATGCCAGCTTCACATCCCAGCTAGCATCATCACTGCAACGATGACATAAAACCTTCCATTAAAATTTTAAACGTAAATAGTTTGTTTCGTAACAGACATGTTCTAAGCTATTTGATGAATAGAGAATTCGTTACCTGTCAACAAGATCTGTGTCACCAAGATTTTCCATCATGCTACTGAAGGTTGACTGGAGATCTTTGAGAACTTCTATTTCATTCTCCAGGTTTGATATCTCCTAATTTTACAATTACAAAGAAACGGATATCAAAGTCAAGCAGGGTTAAAGAAACATATATTCAAAGTTAGGCCAATTTAGGAAACATGCATAGAAATTACAATGGTCTTGGTGTGCGGTGCAGTACTACGAGCTCCACGTAGATAATCCAATAAAGGAGATGGCAAACCATAATAGAATATATTATGGTTGTTTGAGAGCCAAGT